TAACTATAACTATGGCTTTGAATTTAAAGATTCAAGGCCAGATTTGCCATCGCATTGGATCATTGCAACCTATTGAAGATGCACAGCAAAAATTCTTGCAAATATACTTCATGGGCAATATGGAAGAACAACTTGACCGGCGTCAAGAAATGAACACAGCTATGAAAAGAGCAATTCTCCAAGATTTGCATGCTTAGAAATTTAAACCAACCAAAACTGTGCAATGGAACGCGTTTGGTGATAAGAAAACTGATGAGCAATGTGATTCACGCGTCGATACTCAAAGGAAAATTTAAAGATGAGGAAGTTCTTATTCCTAGGATTCCGATGATCTCAAAAGATATGCCCTTTGAATTTATTTGAATTCTCGCTTCGTCTTGCCTTCGCCATGACGATCAACAAGTCACAGGGCCAATCTTTGACTATTTGTGGCCTCAATCTAGAAAATGTGTGTTTTTCTCATGGTCAATTGAACGTGGCAAGCTCACGTGTTGGCAAACCATCCGCATTATTTGTTCTTGCACCTGACCAAAAAACGAAGAATGTCCTTTACAAGGCGCTTGAATGAAAATCCGATTAATAAATTAATCAGAGTGTATACCAACCTGAACAACATAGCTTTCAACAATTTTTTACCTAGAAATAATATAGAGGGCAATGCAACGTTTGCCGGGCCAGTTAGTTTCTCATACTTACAAATGTTACAGGAGAGCTTGTAGGCTTACATGAAATACGAGATATTCAACGATTTCTCAAAACTGACTCACAAGACCATATATTTGAGTGTCAACATTTTGCAGATCGTTCACAGTACGCATTACATAAGCAAATAAACTGTGGTGCTGGATTTATGGTTTGGCATATCGAGCAAGAATCATCGGAATTATATGAAAATTGTTTGCTTTTGCCAAGACAGTATTTTAAATTTGCTTGGTTTGGTATTGGACATTAATTTAGCTCACGATTGATTAATTATTCATTATCGTTTTAATAGTTTAAATTTAAATTAGTTTTCATTTTATGTTATCTGTTAAATATATAAAAAACTTTAACAGAATAACATTGTTATAATATATCGATAGCTTCGATGACAGCTATTATAAATTAGACGATAGCCACCCAAGCACAATTTTTTGGTGAATGGCTAATAAACAAACAAGAAATCTAAAGAAAGCAGTTACTTAAACTACTTACAAAATATATCAAATTAAGCCAGGGTCCCCTAAAAAAAAGAAAGCATGAATCCGCTAGACAAAATACATGCACTAGATGAGATTGAAAAAGATATAATACTCTGCATGCAGAGTGCAGGTAAGCATTCTTATGACCATTTGTTACTGCAGTCAACAATAATAAGAAACACGTAGGTCAGGCGTTGCAAGAGCTGGGTAAGGAGAAAACTTCTCAAAAAAGTGCCGAGACACAGTCTCAGCAATTTTTAAAGAGTTTGTCTAGTGTTGAGTCCAAACTCTCGGAGCAAATCAACTATCTCACACAAGTTTCCACCGGTCAACCACACGAGGGATCGGGATATGCCTCCGCTAAAGTCTTGCAAATGGCTTGGCATCGCATTCAACATGCGCGCTCTCGTGTACGTGAACTGGAAGAGACCAAGGCCAAACACTCGCATGCGGCTAGACAACAACAACAAAAGCGYCAACAAGAACACGCAGCTGCACAGCAACAACAACAGGCGGCAGCAGCCGCAGCTCAGCAACAGCAGCAGACGACAGTCGCAGCTGGTGGTTCCGGATCTACAGACGGCAGTGGTGTAGGTATTGGCAATACTTCCAGTGTTAGTGGAATAGCCACCGATGCCGGCGGTAGTATGCCCGCAAGCTAATTGCAAATTTAATCTCTGCTAATAATATTTTATAAATGCAGTAAAATAAAATAAAATTTTATTTTTGTTTGTTTTCTTTATTCAGTGGTTTTCATTTTATTTTTCTGTGTCAAAAACTTTTTACAAGTCAAAAAAGTTTTTTGCACACACGTAGCGCACACACTGCAAAAGAACATTTCGCTCGTGTCGTATTTCGCTATCTAACAGCTTAGAGAGCATTGTGTTCAGATTATTTAATTGACGCGCACGCATGTAATTCAAACCAGAAAATCTTTTTTTTTTTGGGAAAGGATTTGATTTAAAGGCTTTGATGACTTTCGATCGTAGTCGATCCTGTTGTGCGCTAGAAAGGGATTCTTTGTTTCGTTCAATGGGTACGTCATCAGGTCCTTCATCGGAAGAACTTGAACCTATCGTGAATTCATATTTGGTAATATTTTCTGTTAAGGGCGTGACTGAATATTTAAGCTTGGTATCATCTGAATTGTCATCATAGTCATCTACAGTAATCTTGGGTTCTACAAAAGTAAAGTGAGCCAAATCTCCTACATCATGATTGTTATTATCTGATGCTTCATTTTCGCTCTCAGTGTCCGTATCATACATTCGGAACATGTTGCTTAATGCATTATCAACCTCGTTTCTGGAATTAAGCCTTATATGCTTGTAATCGATCATTTTACTTGTCCCACGAAAAATAGGCACATCAATTAAACATGAATTGCTTGGATCTTGTAAAGTAGTGTTTCCCATTACTTTCTTTGGCCCTTTCTGACGGTCTGATTGTCGTTCCGAAGTATTCATACATCCAAGTTTTTTAATTTCCTTCACAGATTTCCGTTTCTTTGTGTATGAGTGCAAACGCATGTTTCGTCTGTCATCCAGTATGCCAAAGCGCATTTTAGATGCCTCAAGGCGTTCGCCTCGTTTTAAGCGCTGTTCCTTAGCCTGTTTGGCTATTTTTACGCTAGCTGCCGTTGGAAATCTGTAAAATCAAATCTCAATGATTGTAACTTATTTAAATGTCTTTACAAACCTCTTGCATCGCTCGGCGCGCCAGGCAGCAATATTCTGAGGTGTCCAAACTTTTTTTACAGTTTTGTACAAACCCGTTATATGGTTTGCCTCAATATGTCGCTCCATAATAAATGATAAAGCTGTAAAACTGCATTCTTCAGCGGGACAAGTTTGATGCTGGTTGAAATGACGACGCATATCTTGCGATGTGGCCAGTTCCATCTTACAGTTTCCACAGTATTCAGTCCGAGATGGAGAATAATTTGATGTGATTTTTGTGACACAAATATTCTTTAAAAAGTTAAAATATATGATTATATTCCTATATCATGTTAACATGTTTGTATTACTTGTTGCTTCCCTACTTGGAAATACTTTGGAGCCACTGTACTTCCGTGCGCTCCATACATCGGAGGTGGCTGTTTTTCCCGTGAAAGTAACGTCATGCCAGATGGTGTTAGATAATGCAAATTAGTCTTGTTTGGTTTATTAAACATTTTATTGAAATTTGGGGAAGGCAACAGGAATTTCTGCTCCATTACAATTAATATTTGCAATTCACGTGCTCAGTAAAAAATATACTAGGGCTGCAAATCTATCGATGGCTGTTACCGATCTATCGATGGATATTGAAAATCCCGATAGATCGATGGCTTTTTTGCACCATCGATATATTTATTTCTTTGTGACATTTGATTGTAAGATTGTAACTAGTGCTGGGAAAAGATCGATATTTACGTAGATCGATATTTCGATATTATGTATGGGCACTAACCAGAGAACACATAGACTAGACAACTACAGCTTTAAATTCGCTCGGCTCCTTACTTTTAGGTTCGAGCTACGAAAAAATACGAACGCACAATCATTTCGCTTCATGCGCTCGACCGAGATGGTCAACTTTTGAACAAAAGATCCCTCTATGCAGGGGTGTCATTTTAGCTTTTTTCCCGTCAGATCTGGCTTTATTTGAAGTCCCAATGCGGGAAAAATTTGAAAACGGCGGGTTGTGGGAATTCTGACTTTAAAAAAATTAATTTAGCTCTATTTTAGCTTTATTAAATTTTCACGATTTATTTTGCTTTTTATCTTTCTCAACACTAACAAGTAAGAAAATTCTAGTCGAGAGTGCTCNTTAAATAATTCGGCGAACGTACTTGGGTGCAAGGCGAGGGCTAGCTTTAGCGCACGATTTGGGATCCCGTCCGGCCCTGGAGCTGTGTTGGTTCTAAGACCTCGGAGAACTACTGATATTTCTTCCTCTGTAACTAAAACAATGTGTATGTGTGTGTGTATGCGTGTGTGTGTGTATGCGAGTGTGTGCGTGCATGTGTGTGAGTATGCAAGTGTGTGCGTGCGTGTGTGTGTGTGTGTGTGTGTGCGTGTTTCTTGTGTAAGCAAAAAGACGCGAAAAATGATTGAAATAGCTATTACTCGAAGGGTTCAGGGGATCTTGAATGAAAGAAAATGATTTTTCGACATGTATGCTTCGTGTATGAGCTCTTGCTGCCTGTAAGAATTGTGAATCTCGATATGCCAGAAATAATATTAGTTGGAGCTGAAATTTGGTATGTCCATATGTAGATTCGTATTGACCACCCAAGACCAACAAACTATGGTAGATTTATCTACGCCCATTGGGGACGTAGCAAAGAAGAAAAGAAACACTTAGGCATGCACGCATAATCTCGCATGGACTGCAGAGGAGGAACTTAATTGTTTAATAACGTGTCTTGTCGATTGACTATCTTCATGAAACTTTTAGATCGTGAATACAACAATAAAATGGGTGCATGTGCCAAAGCACAAGCTTCTAGTATTTGAATTACATGTTTTATAAATGGGTGATGGGGGTGGATATAGGGGTGGGGGGTAAATTTGAACAAAAATCGAAATTCTATAAAATACGCACATACGTGCGTGCCTTTGTTTGGCTGAAAGATCATGCCTTCATAGGGATCAGTCGACTAGAGCCTTATTGTTTCATTTGCTCTGGTTCATAAAATAATTATTAAGTAAACAGCAACATTTTTTAAAACTTGTTTCATAAGTAATTACTTTTCTTAAAATCCTAATTAATACATTTTTATATAATTCGTTTCGTTTTTTAGATGTGGAAAATGAAAACATATCTACTATTGATGAATACAAATATGCTGGCTGTCAGGATCCGAAGATTATGTTAACTACATCCCATGAGCCGTCTTCACGCCTGAAAATGTTTATGAAAGAACTTAGACTAATATTTCCTAATGCCCAACAAATGAACAGAGGAAAATATCAACTAAAAACATTAATGCATGCATGTCGAGCTAATAATGTTACAGACTTTATAGTAGTGCATGAGCATCGGGGCATTCCCGATAGTCTTGTGATATGTCATTTGCCATTCGGACCAACAGCTTTCTTTAATATAACCGACGTTACAATGCGCCATGATATCCCTAACATTGGACCTATGAGTGAACAGAAACCGCATTTAATTTTCAGTAATTTTAAAAGCAATATTGGTTTAAGAACTGTACAAATTTTAAAACATTTGTTCCCGGTACCAAAAGAAAAATCTGAAAGGATTATTTCATTTATTAACAATGAAGATAAAATTTCATTTAGACACCATCAATATAAATATGTAAATAAAGAAATTGAATTAACGGAAGTTGGACCCAGATTTCAATTAAAGTTGTATCAGATTAAACTTGGAACACTAGAAAATATTAAAGCTGTTGATACTGAATGGGTTAGTCGTCCGTACTTAAATACAAGTATCAAAAATTTAGTTTTTTCGAATACAAATATATTTACTAATAAAATCAATGGTTAATATACACAAAAATGATTTCTTTTTCCACACTGGACCCGCATTGTTTTAATATGTACCTGGCACGTGTGCATTATGGTTTTCTGTAACATTCTTCAATAGTTCCCCTAATACCTACGTGCTTATTCGATAATTCTTTATAGCCGTTATCTACAAGTGTTTAAATGTACGAAAATGAGTTTGGGTTATAATGATATGCCATTTGCCATTCGAGCCAATAGCATTTGAGGCAATGCTACATGTTGTTGCTAATCTAGGGATTTGCAGGAGCTGTCCCTTTCTCTAGCAATTCATTTAGTCGCCAAGTTTAAGCAAAATAGCAAAATTGGTTAAACATTCTGCTGTACTGTGTGCGGCTATTTCAGAAAAATAAAGGTATTGTATTTTGCGCATTAATATACCGGGTCGATCAAAATAAATACATAAATAATTTGGAAATTATTTTTATGGGCGGGAGTAACATCTGTTCTCTGACGATTCTTGAACATCCTGTCAAAACCAAGGCAGCCCTTCAAGTACCTGGTGCGTCGTCAATTGTTATACTTCAGTCCAATGCAGAAAATAGCAGCTCGAAAGTTGGAAATTTTACAATATGCGCAAACTACTAAAGTCTCCGACAATGCGGTGCAATTGGGAATGCTCATACTACAGAATACGGCCTTGTGGAAAGCAATATGGTCAAGCGAAAAGTACGAGGGATTAGTTGCAAAAATGATCTAATAGTACTAGAGCTTTGGCTATACGGCTCTACTGTGAAATTTTAATGTATTGAAAATTTAAATTTAAATATGAAATTTAAATTCAGATGGTATTCAAATGAAAATATCTTTGCAACGACTTCCGGAGAAATAAAACAAGTAAGAAAACTCGAGAGTGCTCGACTAGATACTACCAGCGTTTGAAAATGCTACGCTACTTCGTAGTTTTTATACTCATTCACGAGAGTGAAATGAGTATATTGGTTTTGTGCAATGCCCGTCTTGTTGTCCGACCGATATACCAGAAATCATGTTAGTTGAAGAGCTATGTAGAAAGCTGAAATTTGGTATGTAGGTCCGCGTCGACCACCCAAGATCACGAGCTATGGCGGATATATGTCCGCCCGTTGGGCGGATAAACCGTATCTGTTAAAGTAATAAGTCTAGAATGCTGAAATTTTGCACGTGAGCTGATGTTTCAATTCAATAAAAATGGGTGAAATAATTTTATATCTACGCCTACTAGGGGCCTGGCAAATCGGACCTGAAGATATAGTGATTTTTACAATTCTTCTATATTTTAGGCACTATTGATGCTAGAGACCTGAAATTTGGTATATATACGCGGATTGACCACCCAAGTCCAACGGCGAAAAAAATTATATCTCCTACAGTTTAAGAGCTAGAAGCTTCAAATTGTTGAAATATTGGTAGCCTCCTCTATCGATGCCCCAAAAATGGCATATCGAAAAATATCCTGTAATTTTCACATTTTTTGACCGTAAGAATTAAAATTTTGCATTTAGGTTACCGGTTGCTCGTTCTAAGAACTGGCTGAAAACGAGTCTACGGCCACTAGGGGCGTGGCAATAGGCATTTATAGTGCCCATATTGCGGCATTTATATGCGTCAGCCATCTATTTATGTATTTGTACCAGAGCTTGCAAATGAGAGTTGAGCGTTTTTTCGTTTATTCTCTTCCTCGCATCATAACCAAAAAAAATTGTGCAGACACGTCTCACTCTGAGCGTCACTCTCTGTTTTCTTTAGCATCTGTTTCGCTCAGACGCAATGCAATGACTCATTCGTGTGACGCTCTCACATGAGTGTCGCGTAAAACTAACACGATTTTCCCTCACACAAAGCCTCTCAGCAAAAAACACTTTGACTAACAAACTCAGCAGAAAATGTTTTTGCCTTCGTGTGCATGTAAATACACGCATACATACATACAAAAAGAACGCAGCAATCGCGCGTGATTACCCATACAAACGCAACTTACCGTTACTTCATTTAACTCAAGCAAACGATCAGTGTTTGACTTGAGGAAACGAAAACAGAAACAACTATCTCCCTCAGAGCGCGAGAGAGCTAAGCCAGACGCGACAAAAACAGTTTCTGTCTGAGTTTTTTTGACTGTGTCANTTTTGGTTATTTAATTTTTTAAAATGTACGATGAAGTTTGTTGCAATATATATATATTTTTTTTATAACATAATAAACACCTTCTACTTAGTTAATTTTTTGTTGAAATACTTGATACTTGAAAAATTTCTATAAAGTTAAAAACCTTGCTGTGCCAATAATTTAGTTCTTCACTGTATATACCCACCCAGAATTTTGAGTTTCACAAAGCATAAGTCAGTCTTAAAAGATTCGCGCGASGATTGAAAATAGTCATATTTGCGCTCATTTTCTGATCATAAAAGACTGTTCTGTCGGGAGACAATGGTACCCTATCCGCGACTCTTCTTGATTAGTCGCTAATGACTCTTTTTATTAATCACAAAAAAGTCTTCCACGAGTCATCTTTTAATCATAAGAGAGTCTTCCACGAGTCATAATTTAATAATTTCTGACTCATATTCGAATAAAATTTTCAATGATTTGCAATTAAAATAATTTTTTTATAAATATAATTTTCATTTACTATTTACTATATATTTGAATTAGTTCAAATCTTTGTCCGTGCATTTATATTTTTCAGCAATATCTAAAAGGGAAAATATTAATTAATACAAAATATTTTCAATATTTTCCAATTTCTTTGGACTTTCTCATCAAATGCTACTACTTCACTAATGGCACTGAGAGGAAGTTTTGGGATGTCCGAGAATAAAACATCATCAAAATCTGTGTTGTTTTTTCTGTTTTCCATTTTAACAGAGATAACCTGCTCTGTCAACTTTAAGAGTCCCCGTTTATTTGACTCCTTTAAAGCAGTTATTTCTGCTTTCAAATCGGAATTTAAATGTTTTATCTCAGAAACTTCAGACTGGAGGTTTCCCGTCTCTGGTATCGTAACGTTTGTCACTAAAAATTATGTGTTTATTAAAAATAATATTGGAAAATTTTTATTAAAAATACTTACAAGTCTAAGGAATCACGAAAACATATTATTTCATTATTTATTTGATTTAAGCAAAATTCAATTGTATTATCGAAGGCTCGTAAGTCAGTTGCACTATATATATTAAAATCGCTTCATATTGGTTCCACGAAAAGTAATGTCAAGCCATGTATTTCATTCCCTACAATAACGGGCAGATTCTCATTTTTCTTTATTTTATTATTTACTAAAGAAAAGTTGTTGGGCTCTTCCAAAGAAATGAAGACACCTTTTAAAGAAATACTTGACATTTTATCATTTATGATCTTCCCAAAACTTATGTTTAATTTTTGCTTTAATTCCTTTTCCAAATGGTAGCTTTTCTCAATGTGTCTTTTATAGATTTGAACTGCAACACTTCCTCCTTTTCCGACTTTCCTCTTGATTTGCTGCAGATAGGTTTCAAACTTAAATGAACTTATGCCATCTAAGGCTCCAAAAATTTGGCATATTCGTTGATGTGCAACAAGGCATGAACATTGTATGTAAAACAACACAAGTTATACAACTCTGGTGTGTGAACAACAAATGATCTTAATAATTGAGCAGCAACAGAATTGTTTGACTTGCAGTCATGTACATATGTCCAAAAGTATCCTCATAGCCAACGATAATTAAAAAAAAAAATGGCAATATATCGATTCAAATTCTTTTTCAACACGATAGGCCCAGTGTATAATAAAAATGGCCTAAGCCCTGTTGCCTTCCATCTGTCTAGGTCTTTTAAGCTTCGAGGTTTCCTTTTAAATTCCCTCGGTATATTCTTTTTATTAAAAGTTGACTCCTCGGAGATTGATGTTATTTTCGTTGACACTAAGGAAAACTCGAAGCCTTTTTTGTGAACCCAGCTTTTCAATAAAGTCCGTATTACGCCTAAGCAAAAAACGTGCATGTAATCTAGGCAGCACTGGGACACTATTAGAGTGCAGCATGGTGAATATGTTTTGTAGTATGGACGCTGCATCGGCTGTTGCTACCCTACACTATAAACATAAAAATGGGTATACCTGTTTTGCTTAACTATAATTTTAATACTTGATGATCTTTCTCTTAATTCTAAACACTTGGTCTTACACTACTCTAATGCGTGGTAGAGCTGTAAAACTATCGATGGTTGCAACATTCAATAGTTTCAGAGTACTATCAAAAATAATTTCAAGTTCAAAAAGAAACTAAATAAATGCATATTTAAAAATAAAAATAAAAATAAACAAAAAGTTTAGATAAAATTAAAATTAAATGCATGGCTTTTATTCTTCTGCCAAGATCCAAGAGTTATGATTAAGAAAGACAAGCATGTCCACATGCTTAGCTTTTAAGGCAGCTCGTCGTTCCGTGCTAATCTGTCCAGCTTTGCTGAACAATCGCTCTGACTC